GTTTTAATAGAGAATGAATTCGCGACAATCATGCATTTTATGTCGGCCATGAAAAAAACAATTTTTCATTCCTAAAATGACTTTTCTTCAAATTTACCCTATCCATAAGCAAATTTGTTCTACTTTTTAAAATTCGAAATTCAAAAAAATTAATTGATAATTTAAAATAATTTGTGGTTTCACTTTATTTAAAATTATTTACATGATTTATTGAAAACAACTGGTGGGAAATAGCCGAAATGGAAACAAAACCAACAAACTTAAAAATAAGATTTGCCATAAATAAACACGAAGAAAAAGTCGTCTACAATTTGCTATTTATTCAAAACCCATTGAAGGAATTTCGTTTGTGTGGAGCTGTCAAATAATTGGGAAACCATCAATAATTATTTAGAAATATGACACCATTTTCATCTAAAATTAAATCGCAAACTAATAATAACAACTCGTCAAATATCTCAGAAAAATTATTGGTTCTAGGAAAAAAAAATTTCAGCAAATTTGAGCAGATAGTCAATATAAATGTACCATTTTGTGGCGCTAGATAATGGTTAGTGGGTCATTTTTGTGTGCTCCACTGGCTGTTAGGATGAATCACTTTGAGGACAGAAGTACGGGTGGGATCCATGGCACTCTTTTAGGTTTATTCTTCATAAACCGAATCTTGATACTTGAAATGTTTGCCGCTCTACCGAATGTTTTGTCTTAAACTGCCGCTTAATTACATTTGTGTCACATATCCTTAATTATATACCATTTTATGCTCAAATATACGCAGTTTATTTATTAACTGAACCTTTACAAATAGGTATTAATTGCATCTCTCTCTTCATGAAATAAATTAATTTATTAATAAAACGTTTGTCTAAAGAGAGGGTGAATAACTTGTTCGTGAAACAATTCATAGATTTCCCTATCATCGACAATAAAAAAATACAAATGCTGAAATAGCGAAAAATCGCGAAAATAAAATAAATCCTCAGAATGAATGAAGAATTTTTATTGGCAATAGATGTCACAAATTTATCTAAAACTCTTTAGAAATTTGGAAATAGGAATATTCCTTCTTTTTTATAACGAAATGCGCTATGATTAGAACGACCGTCCGACAAACTTAGGCAACAATCCCACGCCACAAGCGCTGGAGCGGCAAATTTCGTTTGATTTTAATTATTAAAAGAGGGGAATATTAAATAGTTAACAAAAATAGGCTTTAAAGAATGATGGATAAATGTTCCAGCAAAAAGAATGAAAGGTATATATAAAGGTATATAAATAACATTTAGAAAAATGGAAGAGAAATCCAAATAGTATATATTTACCCATAAGTCGAATAAATAAATGAGATGGTCTTTCTATGGGAATAAATAAATATGATCGGCTTTAAAATGAGAATTCCTGCTTTCCATAATATATTAGATGAAATTCAATGAAGTTTTCATCAAAGAAAATGGCAAATGCGAAGCGAAATCGCCAACTTTGAATAATTTGAATAATTTATATAATTTTAGAAATATTTCTTCTCTCAACAATTAAAGAATGTTGAAAAAAATACGAGAGATATCGATGTCAGCAAAAATTTATTTGCGAAAGTTCGCAATAATTTAAGTTATAGAATTTTGTATTTTAATAATAATTTGGCCCTAGCAAAAACATTTTGCGAAATAAAAATGTTCTCATTTTCACTAGAAAAATATTTATAATTATCTCACACAACTAATTATTATACTTTAATTTTATCGTTCTGCACATACAATATTATTTTATTTATTTCCTTATTTACAAATCTAATGCGCAACCGATTTACAGCAAATAAAATATTCATAAAATTGAAAAATAAGAAAAATTATAAGCAAATATATAAAAAATATAAGTAAAAGCATAAAAAATATAAAAATACAAAAGTACAAAAAATAAATCTATAAAAAAGTACAAAAATAAAAAATTAAACTTTGCAAATTTTTAAATTTTATTACAAAATATTTTTGTTAGCCTTTTAACTGGAGAATTAAAGAGAATAGGGATATGCGCATCTCTGGCTGTCATCCCTATTTCATTTTGTCCTCAACAATTTGGATGAATGAATAATTTGGATGATTATTTTTTGGGTTTTTTTGAGATAATTATCCATACATGAGAAATTGGTATGTCGGCTTTCAGCGTCTCAAAGAAAATAATTTAACTATTATTAAGGAGATGCCGACTTATATAAAAATGTAAATCGGATCTTTATTGCGACAAAAAATTGATAAGACAGATTATTAAAATTAGAAAAAGAAACAAAATTGAAATAATTATCAAGAAAATTACTAAAAATGTTATTAAAAATGTTCTATTAAAAATATTTCACCAAAAGTTTGTAAATAAAATGTTTTATATAAATAAATAACAAAATATTAATAAATAGTAAAATATTTTAATTTATAATTTCCTCGTGGCATAAAACGCTTAAACGCTATCAATTTCAACCAACAAAATCAAAAATGGTGAATGGTGAATATTCAAAAAAAGTTAGTTAAAAAGTTTAAAAAGTAAGCGCCAATTTCGAAATAATTTAATTAATTAAAAAATTAGTTGCCGATTTCTAACATTTTAAATGATTGAAATTCATATTAGAAATATTTATCACTAAAACTAAACTTTGCATTTTTTTCATACTTTATCATTTTAAAAAATTAAATTAAATTCATCGTTGTTTAGCATCTTTCGCCTGAGATTTAATAATAATAGTATTTCTTTGCAGTTTTTTTTGGAAGTTAATATGGTTGAATATCGCTCATATAAAAACTCAGCTAGTCTGCCGAAATCGAATTTCGATACTAGCAACTATTTCGACAATGGGATGCATCGTAAAATATTTGAGCCTCTGGGAAAATTTTGAAATTAAAAGATTTTTACACATTGCTATCAACCAAATAACATGCAAATGAATCCCATGAGAATGGGAAGTAGTAAGCAAAGCCAGTCTGCTTAATAGTTATAGTAGTATTTAATTGTTAAAGAAACGAGTTATATGCTAAAAAAAAGATATGATAAGATGATAAAAAAATTAAAAATTTACAATTCACTCTAGTGAAATCAAAATAATTAAACTTCACTTGCGCATCAAAAGGAATAATTAGCGCCGAAAATTTAACGAGAGAAATTCTTACGGTTTCTTAAGATAAGAAATATGAAAAAAAACGATTTTTCAAAAATCATCATTTTCCTTCTAAAATTTCAATAATCTCTCTCAATAACTAAACTGCTTCAAATAATAATCTATAATAGTAATCAACGTGCGATATTGCCACTGGTAAAAAAATTTATTTACTGCCTTGGAGGCGATTAGTCTTATATAAACTATAAAAATATGAGAAGAGAGAAAACTATTCTTCAATGATCTTTTTCTTCTATGTTTTGTTTTAGGAGGAAATGTAAAACGATGACTTGGATGGTATTTCAAATGGAATTGCTTAATGATCGCAATAGGATGAACGATAAGAAAATTAATATTGTCGAGTTGGCACATATATAAACGCGCTTCTAATATTAATACTCAAATTTAATTTGAATTAGCTGACAATCATAATACTCGAATAGCTTTCAAGGATCGAATAGCGCTTGAAAAGGAATAATTTTTAATATGTGCAAATAAGTTGAATTGAAGAGGAGCACTCGCTTATAGTGAACATAAACGAATCAGCCAAGCAAATACTTCATGAAAGTGAAGTGAAACGTATTCATGCAAAGACTCAGTTACCCATTATATTATAAAATCTGCGAGAACAACTAGAACACCATCATTCATTTCGATTCATAAATTTTTAAGTAGTTTTATGAAAAAATTCGACCAGTCGATGAACTTTCATCGAATTTTATTTTAAAAGAACGTTCCCCTTTCTTTGAATAAGAATTAATAAGAAGGAAAGAGGATAGTTGAAACCTGGAACCGAGAATACTTGAGACCTGGTGTCACTTTAGTTCCATAAGTGAGTTCATTTATTGAAAAAGAAGATTTTCACTAGTTGATTTACAAATTTTTAAATATATTATCTATTATAATAAACTGTAAAATGGTCAACAAAAATGGACACAATAGTTGTCGCAAAACTTTTAAATAGCATTTAAAGTGACTTTAAATTTTAAAAATTAAAGTTAAAAATATTTTTTAAAAAAAATAATTTAATCGCTCTATGATTAAAGCGATTTCAATCATTTCTTAAAAAAATTTTGTTACAGAAATTCTATCGTAGGAATTTTCTCATAGAACTGATTGTAATCCGAGTCAAAATGGCATTAAATGTCCAAAATCTTCTCCTCTAGCGGTTCGCACCATAAGCAGTTTAGCTGATTCCACTGGCTGTGTGGACGAGGCGTCTCGCAGTCTCTTTTTATACCCATCATTCGCTAACAATTTTGTGAATATTAATGCTCTATGGAAAGTAAATAAAAAAAGATAATTTATCATTTTGAATGGTATTTTTTATATTCTTTTGCAGTTTAAGCTTTAAGTGAAAATAATAAATAGAGTAATATTTTTTGGAACGATTGGATTTCGTTCAATAGCAAAAAATTCGATTTAGTAAATCTGCCCAAATGAAGATCTTTGCAAGATTAGACCGAGTAAGATTAAAATTTCAAGTAGAATTAGAGTGAATAAGACAAAGATCTTTGAATTGAAAGAATTGAAGAATTGACTAAGTGAGACTGAGGCTTCAAGCAAATGAATAATGCAGAGAATTTTGAGAGGGCGAAAAATTGCAAAAGAAAATTAAATTAAATTAAATTATTCACTTCATTTCACCTGAAATCCTGAAAAGCGAATGAATTGCATGCATTCTGCAATATTTTATTCATTGTTCATAAAGAATAAAGAATTCCCTTTAAAAAGCATAAAAATTATATTTTATGCGAAAAATAAATGCCATATTATGCTATAATCGAGAAATTAATAGGTATATTTATGAAATGTATCCATGATTTAGGTGAATATTAGGTGAATATAAATGAACGCACAATCAAGCACCATGCACACCAAAAGAACTAACTGTTTTCACTCGAAGAACGCCAACGCTAGAACTGCTCGAATCCGCTTCTGTTGTCATATAGAAATATTTATCTTCTTCCATAAGCTCGTAAGAAAAAACATTGTCCCTAACAAATTTTAGTGCAAATGTCTAGAAAATATAGGATTTCAACAATTGTAGGGCAAGAAAATGAATTGAAATGATTACTTGGCTTCATTATCCTTATCAAGTGCGGAAACGCTCATAATTGGAGAACCAACGAGAGCAGTTTCAGGAACAGAACTCCAGTAGAAAGATTTTTCGAAAAACGGTTGGTTATCATTAACATCTTTAACTTGTATTGTCACATTCCCGGATCCTGAAATAATTCAAAAAAAATTTTAGTAAAAAACTCCTTTCCGAATTTCCTTTTTCTCTATTTTCCTTTTCTAATACCTCTTATAACGTAAGATTCCATCTTTTCATATAGCAAAAAACCCAAAATTTTTTACGATAAAATTTATACGCGAAATCGTAAATTTAACAAATTTACGAGCATTCGGCGAATACTTCGGTCGTAATACAGCGATGTCTAATTCCTCAAAAGTAAATTGTTAGTTTCTAAAATAAATTATGATTTAACCTTCAAGCGGTGGATTGCCTTTATCAGTGGCTCGGACCTCGATCACAAATTCTCGTTCAGATGGCAATTCCCTATCGAAGCGACGCTTAAAATAGCAGCTTTTTTTTTCAAATGATAGAGATTTATCAAGTTACAGAATCTCATTTGCAGTGTGAAATATTGCAAAAATTCTTGTTCTAATAGCACTAATTGCTTGGCGCTCCACTGGATACAATGGTGCGGCTTGTCATTTGCTTTATTTAAAAACTAATCAATTTAGAATAAACGCATATTTTCCGCATAAAATTATCGACAACAAACCATCGCATAAATTTTTCCATTACTCGGCACAATCCTGAAGACCGGCTGACCATCAATCTCCTTATTAATGCCGATACTATATTCCAAAACTACGTTGTCAGTTCGCGGGTCATCATAATCGACTGCAGTCGCAGTCATGACATAGACGCCATCATCTATACAATATAGGTTTACTGGTTATTAATTGTTAATATGAAGTTTTATTTTAGTTTAAAAAAAAGCATAATTGGAAAAATTTCTGCCGGTTTTTTTACAATAAATTTTTGAAAAAAGCTCGAAATCTTAAATTATACATTAATAATGCCAATTTCAAAATAAAATATGAATAAAATATTTCTACTAATAGGAAAATATATCTCTAAATTTCGGCTCTGAATTATGAAAAATTATGAATTTGAATAGGAATTTCATTTCAGCCGATCTATAAATTTTATCAAACTTTTTTACGAATTAACGGTTGCCTTTGAAAATTCAAAATAAAATTTTAAAATAAAATTTTGGATTTAAATGAGATTTAACTTGCAACCGGTAAACAATTCTACAATGCGAAATTCTAAAAAATATCTGAAATTTTCTTGAAATTTTTTTATAAAATTTCGATTGTTTCCGATTATTTTTAGCTTAAAACAAAAAATTAAATTTCGGACAAATAAAATGAAAATTTCAAAAATCATTACGAATCCAATTTCAACAACTCGAAGATTTTCTTAAAGTTTTTCGTAAATTTTTGATAATTTTGATAATTTTTGATAATTTTGAAATAATGTTAATGGAACTCACTTCCAGGTTCACGGTTTTCATCGATACTACCGACAAGATTAGATGGGAAAATTGGCGCATTATCGTTGATATCACGTAAATTAACCTTAATAAAATCAGTTTCCTTTTCCTTTACCATCTTTGTCTTTGTTACTGTAGTAAAATTTTGGTTTTGGATTTCACTTCTAATAAGGTTTACCTCAGTGAAGCTACTTTCATGCTTTTATTTTGATAAAATCAAGCTCCAAACTTTTTTTATAACCACTTTTTAATTGAACTCAAGCTAATATTGCTTGCATATGTTTCAACGAACCTGAACATCTGCATAGCCAATTAAACCACGGCCATTGTCATCAATTGCCTGAACAATGAAATTCCATACTGGAACTCCAGCAGGTGGATCTCTATCCAATGGACGTATCATTTCAATTCGACCAGTTCTTTCGTTCACGCGGAAAAATTCTCCAACTCCCTGTCCTTCGAGCCGATAGACGATTTCCTTTGATTTTGCATCCTATAAAGTGCAGAAAGCAGCAAGTCAGCTTTTTAAAATATCTATTTATATTTATAATAGACCAAAGAAAAGTATTTTACCTTATCAGCATCATAGGCTTTAACAATAAATAATGTCTTCGGAACATCTTGATCTTCCTCTAAGACGGTGATTTCATAAAGGCTTTTTTCGAACTGTGGAGCATTGTCGTTAACATCATCGATATATACGAACAAATCGGTTGTTGCATTATGCTTTCCATCAGTTACTAATAGTTTCATATGGTATACATTCTCCTTAAATCAACTCAAAATACAAGTTAAGTCATATTTTTCATTATTTTACTGGCAAGAATTTGAGAAATCTCGTGCCATTTCTTAATCAGTTTTGAGAAAATGATAATATCATATCACAATTCAGAAAAATTCGAAAAGTGCTACAACAGCTAAAAAAGCAACAAAATCTTTTTATCGAAGGCATAATTTTTATATTGATAATCTTTTAAATGATCCCCGAGCTAAATCCGAAATTTTTCCAAGAATATTACGATGTTCCAAAATCACCTCTTCATAGTCCAACGGTTCTTTGACAAAAACTGCACCTGAATCAGTTCTGACACCAAAAGGGATGCGCCCCCCGTGTACCGCATAGATATCGTACTTTAGATTGGATACTATAAACATTTAAAATGGCAAATATTTCATTAAATCTATTATGAAATGAAATTACAATATAAAAAATGGCTTTAAAAAATAATACGCAATAATTAGCTCAAACAAACTCACATCTGTCTAAATCGTGAGCTTTGATAGTAATAATATCTTGATTCACATCCACGTTTTCTGAAACGCGACCTTCGTAACGCTTCTCATCAAAATATGGCGCATTATCGTTGATATCGGCCACAAAAATTTGTACTTTAACAATATCTAAAAGGAAAATCGAAATGATTCCGGAAACTATCAATAAGGATGTAAAAGACAAGATCATCATTAAGATCAAGATCATTAAGTACCATTAACATCAAACAAAGTAACATAGTACCTCTGTTTGGTCCAGTTGCGCCAGGTAAACTTGAATCCATACTATCTCTGGCTTCAACATCAAAAATAAATGAATCGTTTTTTTCACGATCAAACATTTCAAGTGGATATATTCCACCACTTAACTCATCAATTCGAAATAATCTTGCTGCGCTTCCAATTCCATCGCCAATTATACGATATCGTACTTCAGATTGCGGCCCTGGGGAATCAGCATCTTCTGCTTTGACTGTTGTAATTGGACGACCACCGTATCTACAGATTAAGAACTTAACAATTAACAATTAACTAAATATTTCTGACTTTACTGATAGAAATGAAGGTGAATATTATAAATTATAAATTAAATTTTATAAACTAAAAATATTCTATTCATATATCAAAATTAGTGTCCTAGAACCGACTAAATCCTCCCAAATTTTTTAAATTCCTCCTTTGATTATTTTAATTTGAAACAATCAAATCATATACTTCGACATGAATTCACTTGGAGTTTGTTCTTCTTCAATTGTGCCGGTGAAACGATCGACTGTAAAACGAGGGACAGCATCGTTTTTGTCGCGAATTATTATATGGAAATGCTTGTCGGAAGTTACCATACTACGCATATCCTTAAAGGATTAACCTATTTTAAGTGGGTTTCATTAATAACTAAACTTTCTTAATGTTCAATTAAGCCATTATAAATAAAAGCATTCAAAAATATGACGATAGATAGACGACATAACTGATTGAATTACCAAGTTCAGTCAAGAAAGTTAACCATGCTAACCATGGATGGAACTCCCGCTGCAAATTCTGGCTGGCAAGGATCAATTTTACTCTGTATTATGATATTTTAGACCTAAAAAGAGATCTGAAAAAATAGTACGAACCATAGCTGTTAATGTTAAGGTATAATTTTGTTGTTGTTCGTAATCCAATCCAACCATATTTCTAACGACAACCCAATCACGACCATTTACTTTTTCAAGAAACTCTCGAAAATGCAATTCGTTATTTGTCCCACGATTCGCTCCATTGGCCATTCTAAATAAAATCCTTACTTTGCAAACTTTGCAAACTTTGTTTTTTATTTAAAATGATTAAAAATTAAGCAAATTTTGGAAAACAATATATTAGTCAAATTTCCACTCTTTTTGGAAGCTCACATGATCGCGTCCATCTTCGTTCAAAATACCACTTACTTTAACAGGACCATCATAGAGCGTCATTTTGCTGGTTAGGACACGTTGCTCACCACAAGAATTGACATATATTTCGTTATTACTTGCTAAACTCTGCGGTAGATGGTCAAAAGCGAGGTGGACCAATCAAGACCTGGACTGATACGGTCAGAAAAGATTTTGATTTAGAAAGAAAGATATAGGTGGACCAGTAGTATATGGACTTAACATATATAGACGATAGAAAAAGGAAAGGCTTCTAATATTCTAATATTGTCGACATCAGATCGCATAACTTGAAAACTTCTTACCCTTATAGCCACCCTAACCAGTAATGTTATAAAGAGAAGAAGAAATTTTGGAAAGTAATGTATTGGTCAAGTAATGAAAGTAATGTATGAAAGTAATATGAAAGTAATGTATTTCCACCCTTTTTGGAATTTTCGAAATCTTAGATTGACTTTAAAATAGAAAAAAAATTTAAAAAAAAATAAATTATAAAAAAAATTTAAAGAAAATTTACGAAATGTTTTAATCAAAATTTTCCTAAAAATTATTTTAAAAAATATTTTTAATGAATTCTTTCCATACTTTATATTATACTTCGAATATTTGTGATATGATGAAAAGAGATGATAAGTGAAGTTTTATCACATATGTGGCTTTTCATTTAAAAAACATTTGTTCTATTCTCTGGTGAAACTTTACATCGCAAACGAACTTTTTTCTGACGAACCACAAAAAAACTATGAATTTCGTATTTGTAATCCCTTTTTTTCTTGCATTTGTAATAAACTGAACACTTTCGACTTTTTGAAATTTTGAAAATTGCACAAATTTTAAAAACTTGCTTATAAGCAATAGGATTATTGGATAGATCGCCAGCTATGGCGTGACATCGCAACAAAATTGAATTTACCTGAAATTCAATTTTTTCCTTAATGATGCATTTTTAATTATTTCATTTACAAATTAATTCTGTATTTCCTTCATTTTCATTTTTGAAGTTATCAAATTTCGATAAATCGTAGACAATATAATCGAATTATCTTTTAACATCAAAAGAATGAAAAAATAGGCTTGAAAGCGAAAAGCACAAAGGATTTTGGCTCCGATAATTTGCCAATCATATCAGATCGAAATTAAATTACCGGCATATCTTCATCAACAGTGATCGCAGTACGACAATCCGGACTGCTCTGCCATTGAGGAGCGCTTTGTTGCTTTTCATGGACATTTACAATCACTTGAACTGTACTATTTTGCGCAAAAGGTATTCCATTATCAGTCGCGATAACATTAAATATAAAGCGATCTTTCTGAAAAACGGTAATAATAATTTAATAATAATTTCTCCACATTGAATTTTTCGCCATTAGCAAAAAATTTAGTCATAAACATAAATTAAAATATCTCTGCTAGAATAAGGGGAAAAAAATAAAAACTCCAAAACTTCAAAAATAAAAACGAAAAATACATGCATCTGCATTTGCTCCTTGATGAGAATAAATCAAAAATGGAACTCGACTTAGACTAGAAGTCTGCCTTGAAGTAAATGGTATAAAAGATTCTTAAGGAATAGTGAAGTCAAAAGTGATCAGAAATGGTAAATGAAAAAATGAAATTATTATTATTTATTGTTTAGTCAGTGTGGAAAGATCCTACTTATTTAACCTAACTAATTTCATATTTTTATCATTTCTGCTTTATTATCACTATTATATATCACTATTATACAACTTAGGAATATGACAGCCGACTAGCCGACATTTAATTTACATTTGGTAGTCGACGTTTGCGTCCTGTTGAGAGGAGTAAACTTTCTGTTCCGAGTGGTGCTGGCGATCCACTGGCAAATGACAAAAATTCTTCAGTGTATAAACAGCCAGTGAAACGGCCGTAACAATAATGACGATTTTCCTACTTATTCATTCAGCATTCGCTTGGTTTTCGATTTTTAATGAGATGTTTTTTTGATTTATTATTTTTTACTATATTTACTATATTTTTTGTCATTTTTTAGTTCGTCGCGCGAACCACGAACGAAGCTTTTATAGTTCGTCATTTATGATTATTAATTTTTACATACCAAAGGAGGTATTTGGTTGACAAGAGTTATTTCACCGCTGTTTTCGTTTAATATTCGGAAATATTCAACATCTTTTTTATGTTCTGATTCGGCTGAATTATCTTCACTCAGTGAATAAGTAATTCTTGCATTATGGGGTGCGTCTGCATCGTCCGCAAATATTGTTATTACCGAATACCTGAAAAATGAATTTACTCCATTTTGTAATATAAACAGATTCGAAATGAAAGATATAACAGCCATACAGTGATTTAAGTCTCTTATGAATGGAAGAATGGAACTAACAAACCAGTTAGAATAAACTTAATAATTTCAAAGAAAATAAGCCGAAATATTGCTCATCAATTGTTTAATCACTCCTTACAATAAAGCATTAGATAAGTATGAAATTACCCGACTGAAACACTCCTTGAAATTGAGGTTTCATAAGAAGCACGGTCAAACTGTGGTGCGTTGTCGTTTATATCAACTATCTGCACAGTGAACTGGCAAAAACCGATGAGTGGACGTTCACCTTTGTCTGTAGCCTAAAGCGCAATAATTTATATCAACAACAGTCTGCTGACATCTTCTGAAGGATTCTAAAGAGATCTCAGGAATATCTTTTATCTTCTAGGATGTTTCATATTTCTTATAAATTTCATCCATATAAATTCCAACCTTTACAGTAACCTCCTCCTGCGCTCTTTGCTCTCGATCAAATCGCACAAAGGGTGAGGGTCGCAGTTCACCTGTTTCAGAATTAATAATGAACGGTTTACGAGATTCTGATTGTGAATAATATAAAGAATAAACTATTTCGCCATTTGGAGGCGAGTCTTCATCAGTTGCTACTACCTGAAATTCAGAATTAAATGCTATGTCATCCATACATCATTTAATTATGTGATAAATCAGCCTAATGGTACCTTTACAATAATAGGTGGATCAGTTTTATAGTCGCCTTCATTGATTTTGGCAATTCGACTATACGTTTCGCAATCTCGAAATTCTGGTTTGTTATTGTTGACATCAGCAATACCTTAATAAATTTTAATAAAACCATCTATTGCAAAAAAAAGGTTTTTCCTTAGATTATCATTTCGTCATGGTTCAGCCAAAATATTATATAATTTAAACAAATCCTAATGCTGTAAAGAAGTCATACCAATTGTCACAAAAGCTGTCTGTGAGTGGACGACGCTAGCCGATTCATCAGTACAACATGAACCATCATCAGTTGCAATAACTGTTAAATTATAAGGAGAAATACCATCTAATAGATCTTCCGGTTTCACATTCTGCTTCAATTTTATCAAACCTAGAATGTTTTTTTTTTCAATCATGATAGACGACAACAAATTGTGAATTTATATTTAATTTTTAATTTTAAAGAAAAATAGCCTAACCGGTATCCTTGTCAATCTCGAAGAGCTCAGTTGTTGTTGAATATACACCATTTGCCATAAGAAAAGCGTATGAGACCTAAAAGCCACGTAAAAATTTTTTAATCATCTTTTAACGGTTCATACACTTTATGAAAAAAGAATTAGAAGAGACAGATGAGTTTTAAAAGAAATTCTAGAAAATGTTCAAATGCAATGTGATGGTCTTATTTCTCTAGGAAAAAGGTATATATCATATTTCGACACCTGATCTCGGTCTGGGTCGATAGCCTGAATTTGAACAATTGGCGTACCACCTTGAGCATCTTCAGCCACAAAGGCGCTATACATCCGAGAAGGAATAAAGTCAGGCGCCTCATCATTGGTGTTTTCAGTTCGAATATGCACCTTTAAAAAAATTTCTATAGATTTTTTAATGTAAAGAAAACACCCAGGTACATTTTTTCAAAGTATGTTTTAAAAGAAATTCTTTTTGAAAATTTACCAGAGAATAAAATAGATAAATAAACTTACAATAGCCTTAGAACTTAGATTTGGTTGTCCTCCATCGATCGCAATAACATGAAATCGGTAAATGAAAAATCTTTCTCTATTCTGATCGGCATCTAATCGAACAGCTGCCGCAATTTCACCTCGTTCATTTATCGTGAAGTTTTTATTGTCCAATGAATAAACTATCTTTGCATTCTCATTGGAATCTTTATCGTCAGCGTGCACTGAAAAATATTCGCCTATTGCCTTAGATTTTTATGGTCTACGAGCATTCTTGAAAGGTTATCACCTTATCAACTCTAGCATAATCAGAGTTAATCAATTACCTGTAAGAATAGTTTTTCCAGGTTTGATGTCTTCTTTTGTTGTAGCAATATAAATTGGTTGAGTGAACGTTGGAAGATTATCGTTAACGTCTTTTATCGATATATCTAATGGAACTGAACTTTCTTTACCATCTTCTTGAGCCACAACTGAAATCTTAGAATAATAATTTCAATTAAAACATGACACAGCTTTGTTTTTTGTGAACAATTGGCATTTGTATTTAAGATATTGATACCCATGGAAAATTTAAATGAAGTTGTCATTAATAGTGAAATTTGGATTTGGCTGTGGACCCATCTAATCCCAAATCCTAAAATGAAAATATCCGCATGTTTCATCCTAATAATCGATGGATACAGCCAAATCAGGAATGGTAAATGCTCTTTATTCAATACTTCAAAATTTTTTGCAAATAATAAAATAAAATTTTTCATTCTTCCCCACGTATAAGACGCGAGGAAAATAGCATATAGCGCAAATAATTGGCTTGTATTTTATAATTGATTCACACTGCAAAGCATTTGACCAGTAAAGTCTTGACCGCTTAATTCTATGACCACAATAAATGCAATGAGTTTATAGCGAAAATCAATTTACGCCAGACTTATCGAGTTTTCAGCTTTATTTATATTTTTAGAGTCTCATAATATATTTCTAAATAGCGATTGGAGATAGGAATGGTATGCTGAAATCAAGCTATGCATGTTCAATTTTCATATCTCTCGACAAGAGTGTCTTTAAAAATGGAATCCGAGTGGTGTTCCGAACCTACTTTTATAGCTGAAATATAAATAATATAAAAAATATAGGTAAAAAAAAATAGATTTCAAAAATGATATGCATAAATTACATAGTTAATCAATATTTTTAAAATAAAATGAAATAAAAATAAAATGAAAATAAATATAAATAATATAAAAAATATAGGTAAAAAAAAATAAAATGAAATAAAATGAACTTATTAATAAATTTATTGATAATTTTTAAAAAGTATCCATCTAATGTGGTATATGAAAAATCATAAAGAATAAATAAATCTTAATAAAAATTATAAAATTATAATTTATTATAATTTGGAGCTTTTTAAAATAATTTGTGGCAAATTTATTATAAAACAGCTGCAAATTTCAGATGTTTCAAATGTTATTCTTTGGTTTATATTTTATAGCCGTAATTATTTTAAAATATCCTTATCCTTAAGATTTAGTATGAAAATTCAAAAGCAAAAGCAAACTTATTAAATTTTAATATTCTTCAGGAAAAAAATTGCCAAAATTGCCAGAGGACATTTTTTGCATTAGATAGATATGCTTTGCTCAAATTCATGTTTCCCTTAGATATATGACTGCAATTTACGAGTGCATATATTACAATAAATTTGTGATAAAATTGATATAATACGAATTCTGAATATCATAAAACAAAGTCCATCATTATTGGTTGAACTGGTCTACCAATTTATCGCCATAGAATCTCATAGGCATCATAGGGATAGTTTCAAGCCGAGTTCTCGAAACCATTCAGATTTAACTGCTTATGGCACATTTATTTATTGCAAAGGATAAAGGAATTGGACCATTGATGTACACCACAATTGGAAGCAATCACACCACTCAACCATCAATGCCACGGATAAGCACACATAAGGTGTTTACAGTTGATAATTAAAATGGAAATGATTGATTCGTTAGATCTAAGATTTATGCAAATGATAATTCGTTTAATAGAAAAAATTGTCCCCAAAAATTAAAATCTATAAGAAACTTTGCTGATTCGAAAATAATTTATGGAATTTCATCAATTGTCATTCATTGACATTGCCTTGATTAAAGCAATAATAGCGTATCGATGCAGCCCGATGCTTGTTTAATCGCATTTGTGCTGCTTTCCAGCTTACTTTACCCCACGGGAATACATTTAACATTAATTTAGCATTTCGTATAATTGAATGCATTCAAGCTTCTATTACTAAGGCATTTTGCATTATTCTCTCCTTAAATTATTTATTTATCGATGAGTAAAGGTTTCTAATTGGTCAACGGGAAAATTGGTTGGCTCCTATGGACTAAACAATAACATCATCATCAATAATTTCATTAATTACCTTCTTATGCCATTTTATTAAAATAACTCTCATTTCTGACTGAATAATATAAATTCTGTGGATTGGCTGTAGATTGAATTTCAAGGTAAACGAGTCTTTGACAAGCACTAATCACTTTTGACTGACTATTGAAAAATTATTTGAAAGCGCAAATATGGGAAGAGGGAGAATTTTCAACAGCGCCGTAGAGATTCTCTCTTAGAATTTTTATGAAAAATTAACCTAATAGCTTATGAAGCTTAGGCTGTGAATTATCATCATAATCGACCGCTTGCTTGAGAGCCACAACTCCTGTAAAATGGTCGATCGCGAAAAATTTCGAGCTTTTTCGTTCATTGCCACCCGTTAATGAGTAAAGCGCATAAACGAGGTCACCCTTTGAACGATTTTCATTGATAGGCTTGAATCTGTTAGCTCGAACGTCAATAATGCTTAAAATTCTCTCGATGTTACGAATTTGTCATCGACAAATAAAAATTTCAAGTAAAAATTAAATGAGCTTCACAGAACCTGGAATCAACAGCTATATCTTCTGGAATCTCAACCGAATAGTAATGTTTTACAAATTGAGGTGGTAGATCGCCTGCATAAACCTCGAGCACTGCTACTTCACTGTCCTGCAAAATAGACTCACGTGTATATTTCATATTGCCTTGCCATATATAATTTATGGAATTTCGAGAATTTTTTGATGCATATTCATCGAATGTGCTTTAAAGATTATTTATGCATTCATATTTTTCCATGCATCCATTTCACATTTGTTTAATTGAACGTTTCATTCTGAATCATTTCATTCTGTTAGCTAACTAATATGCTGTAACGATTTTTCACTGAATAAAAAAGCAAATCAATCGGGGAATTTATCTGAAATTTTATAGCTTTATCGTAAAATTTAGTCCTATAGAAGCAAAATGAGTATGTAAAACACCTATAGCTGAAATACCTGAGACGCATTTGGGTCCGAGGGAGTCTTATCACGGGCTTGTACAAAAGCTCGATATGTTTTTCCAGGCTTATAGTTCTTGACAGCAGTTCGGACTACTCCAGTCGTGGAATCGATTGTGAACATCCCATTGGCTGCAATCACTGTTTATTTTTACGAAGAAAGCTTATATGATCCATACATATAAAATGCAAAAGGGTATAAAAATGTTGATTTAGGTTGAAAAAGACTGAATTAAGCGTTTGATAAACCGAAAATTATTGTTCGAAATTTATTTTATTCTGGTTTTTTAATAAAAAAATATTAAAATATGAGCTGACGTTCAGTATTGATTAACCGATACTCGACATCTTTATCACCATCTCCAGCTTCATCTCGAGCAACAAACTAAAATAGCGAATATAGGAGTTCAGCTGAAAGTGTCACTATGTTTCAGATCCAAAAAAGCAATGTGAAATAAATAACGATCGTATATACTACAAAACCGAGGTAAAATTTTGAAAAAGCATCCTTTGGAAGCGATCAACTAATCGAAATCATTCTCATAAATCAGTCGAAAATAACTTATACCTTGTAAATATACATGCCAATTGGTTGTTCGTATGGCACAACGGCCATATAGGGTTTGGGACCGTTTTCAAATGTCGGTGGTTCGTCGACATCGATAACATCGATTCGTATAAGTTGGGTTCTCGCTGAAATACCCCGTTTTTTTCTTCTTTTTTCACTGTATTTCTTCATAATTGAAAAAATAAAAAAGGCGTAAATCTTAATCTCATTGGCGATAGTAAATGATTTAAGAGCGATCCGAAATAACATGGAAGAATAGTAATTAAAATTCAATAAAGAGAAATGGAAATTGAAGAATATCACGAAAATGCTAATCCAATCTAAGGTTGCATATATATATTGTCTGCGTTCTGCTCTTTACATAAAAATTAATCACCAATTCAATCAGCTTGCCTGGCTTTTAATTAAATGTATATTACCGGTCGAGAATAATGAAATCGTTTAAAGGGCAGCCATTCTGTAAATTCCGCTAATTATAGTGGAGCGTATATGCCCCAAATGTATTTGTATGGATTTTCATTTCAAGTGTCGTGGTTTGGTCCCTTCCTCTGGCAAAGCAAAGAGATTAAGAAGTTCATTTACTTATCCCCTCTCTTGAATAAAACAGCCAATAGCCAATACTCCAATTTATATTTATAGAATAAAGATTTTACGTTGTGATAGCTAGCTTAAATTGTATTAAATTTGCGCCACTATCAATAAATTTTAAGAGAATTCTAAAAATCAAATGTAATTCCTAGGAATTTATGTTCTTAGCTTATTTTTTAGCCTTTTTTTTCAAAAATAAATCAAGCATATATATATATATAATCTATTCTTTCTTTACTTTATTACTGTACATTATTCATTAACTTTAATGAAATATGAAGATTTTAGAAGAATGTTTTAGTTGATGATTCTGATTTAGAGGTCACGCAAGAGACGACACTCTAAACGGATTAATTATACATATTCGATGAGCGGAAATTGATCAAATCAGAATAGACAATCCTTTCTTATGCAAACCATAATTTACCATAATTTTATCCAAACTATCTCAGTGGATTTAATCAAGGCCAAGTGGACATTGATGTGACAATAACAATGCATTACTGAGATTAAATGCAAAATTAAGATGAAATGAAATGAGATATGGATAATTAAGAGACTCGAATCACTCTTATCTTTCGCAAATCACTTTTCAATTTATAATTGTGTTTGCCGTTTAATTTGATTATAAAAATGTAAGAAAAATCAAAAAAAAAGAAAAATTTGCAAAAGTTCCATTCAAAATTGTTAATTTAATAATTTTTTAAGGCTCTAACAAGTTGGAAATCACTTTGAGCGAGAAAGTAGCTAACCGATTAAAACCATTCTTTTAAAATTGATTCATTTATAAAGGCATTCTGATGTATTCAATAAAGTCAGCCAAAGCAGATGATTTATGGTAGAATTAAATAAGAATTTAATTCATGAAAGACATAAATAAAGATTCCAAAAAATGTAAAAAAAAGGAAATATTTGAAAGACGAAAATTTTTATAAGTTTTGAATGAAATTCCGAATTTCCAAAATTCCATTTCTAATTTTTATGACTTAATTAACGAGAAAATTAATGAAATTAAAACTCAATGGATGATTTAGAAAAGGAAGGTTTTAATTTATTAACTGATAAGATTATACTGTAGCGATTGACTGACCAACTTTTAATTATTATATAATCCCTAGTGGTGCTGCAAAATTGTAAGCTGCCTAGCGCAATAATGGCATTATTCGATTACAACTTGTCTCAACTATGATCTATCATCAATCAATGCCCACGGCGATCCATTTCACACCTCTTCCTATAGATCAGTTTTGACAGTTTTCATAATTGCACCCACAATCCACGTTTTTCAAAATATTTATAAAGTCATTAATTTTTAAAAAAAATAACATAGTATGACAACTTCTATTCAGTTTTTTTAATGATAAAAACATATAAAAATATTGATAATTGTATAAATATATATTTAATTTGCAAAAAAATTAAAACAATAAATTTCAACGAATTTTTTCTCATTAAAAAGGAGAAGTTCTTAAGTGGAAAGAAAGATAGTGAAGTGGTATGCTGCTTCGATTTCATGAGGATTAAATCATCATAAGTCCGATTAAACCTTGATGCGAGTAAACCTGTCAGTGAAATTGAAATTGCGTAAGGCCCATCAATCTTAATAGCCTATGGGCTCAGCCAAATCAAAAGTGGTGCCACATCCAGACTTTAGTTTAGTTTTAATTTTAGGTTCACTCTTTGGCGAAGAATAGCAGAAATCGAAGAGCTGATTTAATTGATCTTCATAATGCTGCAGAAATCATTAAATGTCTTGCTATTGACTTATATCCTCAAATTTCTGCTTCAAAAACTGTTAAGACTTAGGGCCTTTACTGCGAGATGAAACTTTCGTAATTAGTCGGAGTTGTAATTAATCTTTGTGATGCAGCAAATTTTCCGAATAATTTGCGCCATATTTTTGAATCCACTAATCAACATCTCTATTTTAATAATCTGAACAACGTTTACGCTGAAAGATTTGTCCAATCTGTGTTCGTCAATTTATTCCCTATATTTAGGAGAGTTTAATTAAAGGCTACTAGAAATAGAAAATAATCGTAGCCAGCTGCTAGTTCTATCCACTATAATGCATTTCATCACGCTTGAATTACTTATAAGTATCATCTATTTTCACTCGATTTGAAGTGTATTCTATAATTGCTCGATTTAAATCGTGTCAGTCGAGGCGTACAAAATTTTCAACGTTATTGTTTATAATATTATTATGCAATGTTAATTTTATAGCATCCAAAAAAATTTTATAGAACATTTATATTAAACTATTAAAGAACTTTCTAGCTTATTTTAATTTATAGTTGAAATATTTCTCTGAAATTTTTCTCAATGAATTTTTTTTTTAGAAAAAAATTTGCATGAATCTAATAAAGTGAATATCGACATATCATTAGACAATTTGAGTCTTTTAAAGAAGTATTTATCATTTCTAGTTTCACTGATTATTAGGGTGAAATCCTTTTATCATAGACTCAATAGCGATAGAAGAAAAGAGACATACAAATCCACGGCACCATTTGGAATAGGGTTTCCAATTTAAATATTATTTTCATTTAATAAAAATAAAAAAGCAAAGGATTTTTTTAAAGGCATTCTTAATTCTCAGTCGCACAAATTAAATTTTCAAGAATTTATAAAACTTCATTTAAAACAATAGATAAATAGAATGATTTTAGAGTTATCTATTACTGCCACAAGTTTTCTGAAGCAACAAGCAGATACGAATCTAATGAAGAAGAAACTTAAAAATAATTTCATTTAGAAATGAAAGTAAGTTCTGTGAAAATCCACGAAATTTTAGTTATAAGCAAAATTTCTGTGAAGGAGCAAAGTGAAAATAGTGAAAAAAATTTAGCTGGCTCAACTGTATGCTGGGAAGAAACTATTTTACAAGAGAGATAGCAACACGGATGAATATCGTCAAAATCGCGTGGAAGCTTCTCTTCGTGGAATTAAAAAGGTTTAGAATTAGAGTTAAAGTTGGAATTAAAAAAAGGCAGCCAATTAATATAACCTAAAATTACAAAACTAAAAAAAAAGGACTTTGTTTATTTATAATTATAAATGATTTAATAATTAATGATGATGCTTACTTCTCAGTGGATTCTCAATGTGAACGGCGAATTTAATTTTCCTCTCAATTTCATAGTTTAACTGTTTAATCAACATTAGTGATCCATTCGAATAAATTGTTACATATTCCTTTTCAACAGGTGCATTTGCAATTTTTTCATGGGGCAAAAGAATTATTCGCTAAACAATTGACAAAATAAAATGTGAATCTGTAATTTGAATTTCAAAAAAAAGTTGAATAATTTGATCTTCCAATTGATCGCGAAAATTTTATGCAAAATTTTCCTACTTTAATGGAATGTCCCTTAATTCATTTAAACTAAAAATATTGGATCGCCGTTTGCAATGAGCGACATTGGATTAAAGTGAGCAAAGACCAAAAAGCTATCGAAACCTTATTAAGCCATCCAAGTGGTTGATCCTCACGTAACGAGAAGATAATATCGTTAGGCATATCTCTTCTAATTCTGTCGAGATTTTCAATCTTTTCATCGCAATGATCCGAAAAAAATTCAGAAGTGAATTTTTTCAAATAACGTTGGTCTACATCGCCTTCGACTATGACTTTTGCGCTCGTTCTTGCTTCCTATAACAATAAAAATTCATATTTTCTCCAACCATATGCCTTACGTGTTACAAAAAGTTTAATTTTTGACAGTAAAATATGTAAAAAAGATTTTTTTCCACAAATTTCGCCAGTTTTATTTATTTAAGGTTTAATTCAGTTTAATAATCTAATAATTTTTTATTAATGGAATCAATTGTAGAAATAGGATTAATAAAGAACGAAAAATCTTATCCTTCAATTTTATTGCGTAAATGCCATACGCTTGATGAAATCTGTAAATAAAATAAATTCACTGCTAAACCAGTTACCTGACCAAAAGAATCTGTAGCTACTATATCAAAGTGATATCTTCCATTGAGAATATTATAACGACTAAAAACATCGCCAGATAGTGGAGTTACGTCGAAAGGAGATGTTTCTGGTTCCACTCGATAGACCACTACACCACTTTCTGGCCTTAATTTATTGCATCGCATTGTTTTTACATGGAACTATAAATTTGCTTGAAAAATGAAAAAAATGATTGTGTAATATTATATAGCAATATTATACAATGATATTATATATTGTGCTATATTAATCCATTTCAATTTACGTTTCCTTGGTTCTAGTGACTATGCACTTTCTCTAAAGGCCCTCGGGAATAGAAATGGACTCGCTGGCATTCTTAATAAGATTCAATCCTGTCAAAAATTAGTCAAAAAATGATCCTTGAACCGATCCAAAGAGCCATTCGCCTATTGTACCTAACATTCATGAAGTTTAATTAAATTAAACTGCTACTAGCGTTCTAGAATTGATATCGATGCCTAAGAATTATAATAGTGAGCATGAAACAAATTATGGAACTATAATAGACAAGATGAACGATAAGTGCAAAAAAAGCAATGAAAAGAGAGAAATCTTTAATCGGAGTCAAGATTCATTCAGTTAAGTACAAGAAGGCCTTTCAACAAATAGTCGAAATTTGAGTATATTTTTCGAAATTTTTCTAAAAAAATTTTTTTGCATTTCTATCAACCTACAGTGACCTTTTTTAATCGCCACAAAACACCGTATTCTGATTATTAAATTAAATTATTATTCTGATTATTAATTGAATTTAACATATAATTTCGAAAAAAGAAAAAAAATAGCCAAAATTATTTAATAGATTCACTGTATTATTATAAATTATTATAAATATACCATAAATTATTCACTGTGACTTTGGCTAAAAAATTAAGAAAGAATTAATAAAAATTAATAAAATCTCCGAAAATATGCACAAAATGCAGAAATATTCGCAAAAAAATGCGCTATCTCCCAAAAATGTGTCTGGAAATGACACCGATTTTTCGCAAATTTTTTCTATTAGCTCAGCAGAAAATAAATAGATGAGATTTTTCTTCACGAACATTCTCCTTAAGAAATAAAGCGAAAATTTTTGTTAGAATCAGAAATGGATTTTTATAAGAATAAAATTGAAATATTTTTCTATATTTTGTGAACAAAATCCCTCATTTGAAATTCTCTAATCATCCATTTAATATTTGAATATTTAACGGGGATTATTTATCTGCGTATTTCCATTAATTCTTGCGGATGAACGTTCATTTCATTATATCCATCTTCGCGTAATCACTTTGCTACGGTTTATATACGTTAATCACGTTAATCAATAGGAATTCGAAAAAAATATTTATCTTTATATGGCGATCGTATGAATTATATTATAATAATAATAATTGGTTCCAGCGAATTTCAGAATATTTATTTTCAATGGTATACAAACGCTGCAGGTCTTTATAATACAAAAGAAAACAAGTGGTTCGGATTAAATAAGGCTGGTGAGATAAGTAAGTTAGCCTTAGAACAGCCTTAGAGCCATATTGCTTTATAAGATTAATTAATATGCCGTTAGCAGTTAACAATTTCTAGTTAGGATGGTTTCATCGGCTATTTGCAGGATGACATCCTTTCTTTAGTGAGTCATTTGGAGATAAAAATCTAAGTGGTAAATTCTTATCACCTTAAGGATTTTTTAAACAACAAATTTTCTCCAGCAACGATTTAAAATTTCCAACTATACTAAAGTAAAAAACTGTGTAAAATCAAATGTTTTTTCTAATTTCCCTTATAAAAATTCATCAATTTTAAAAATTTTATATGCTAAAATCTAAAATCTTTTCTGTTTACAATTTTATAAAATAACAAAGAGAATAACAACAACGCTTTCGCAGTCCTTAAAATCGAACAACATTAGCAATGATTAAATTAGTTCATAAAATTATTTTGAAGGACCACGTTATAAATAAATTCAAAAATGAGACTTGATTTATAAAAATGAGGCATCATTAAAACTTAGATCTACTTGATGCATCTGCTAAATATGCATCCATCTGCATTTCCATTTCTAATTAACTCTCTGACAAAAGGTCCTGAAACTATGAACGATCGCAACCGACAGTCGCAAGTGCTGAGTACTGTTAGAAGAAAAACGACAACAAAGATGGCAAGTGCTAGTCTTCTAGTTAAAATATCCATCAGATATCATCCATAAATGTTAAAATTTTTGTCAACGATTTTTATTACGGCCTAGTTTCTTGTAATCAATGTTAATTTTGGCTAATTTTCGAAATCCCACGAAATGATGATTTTCTATATTCGCAAGAGACTTGAGACTTTTTTAAATTTTCTATGATTTATATGGATATTCTGACAAAACAACTGTATAATTTTGATGAATTTTCAACATTTCTATATAGTACGCCTAATAATGATTGATCATTTTCACTTATACTTGGTCATTAAGTAACAGTCATCACCATTCGTCATCATTATCCATCATTCAAAATCAACACCAATCGATCATCTGATTATTATTATTATTAGTGGAATCTGCAGAGAAATATTTGCAAGGATTTGCACGGACATTCCGAGATATAGATTTTCGCTATAAATTTGGTTATTTTCGTGCAAAAAATTAGCTAAAATTAGCATTTTTTAAAATGTCTAATGAAGGCGACTTCGAATGAATCCTCGAATATCGCTCATTTGTACAACAAAGGCAATAAAATTAATGAGAACGACGGTGAAACGAGGACAATGAAAAATTTTTTTCAGGCGCGATTTATTGATATTGGATTTGGATTTAACTAATTGATCTTCTTCTTCTCTTTCTTCTTTTTCTTCTTATTTACTACAAAAAATAAATTAAATATTTGCTATTTGCTTCTTTAATTTACATGCAAATAATTTATGTATTATGTATTATAATATTAATGTATAAAACAAAGCTTTAACTCGCCAAAATTCGTTCTTTTTTTTTAATTCTTCGCTATTTTTTAAATTTACTTCTATATTTTAATAATAATAACAATAATATTTATTAGTTAAATTTTTTTAAAATTTTAAATTTTAAATTAGATTTTTAAAATTCTTAAATTAAAATTAAATTAAAATTTTTAAATTTTAAAATTTTAAAAAAATTTGCTTTTTGTTTCTTTAGAAAACAGAAAACAAATTTAAATTAAATTTGAAATTTTTAAAATTTTTTAAAATTTGAATTAGTTGGAAAATTTTTTTAGAATATTTATACAATTATAATTTCCTTACTTACAATTTATTTTTATTTCATTTACATAAATAAATACAAAATAAATTAAAATGCAGTAAATATTTTGAAATATATAAATGATTTTGCGAATTTTATTTTCCATTTCTTTTTTTCCAGTAATAAATTTCACTCAGATGAAATTACGCCATCTTTAGCGTTAAGTTTGACGAATAAACAAACGTTTTCTTGCAAATTATCGGATGAGTTACATATATGCTTAAGGGTTATAAACATAGATCTTATAAAATTTTTGAATATCAACAGAAAAATTCGGCTGCAAAAAATAATGATGAAAATTCGCGAGTCAACTATTTTCAATAAAAGGAAGAAATTTTAAAGCAACTTGGCTTACTTGGCTAAAACTCGAAATATCGTGGTATGGCCAGATAATGATTCAATCGATCTAAAATAGCGGTCTGCTTGAAATTTTGGCGGATATCGGGTGGCCTTTCGCACAAAGATTTCTACTCGTGAAAGTGCAACACGGTCGAAACTATTTTTATCGATAGCGCCGATGTAAAAAACAAAAAATTGATTCTTTATTTCAAGTGGCTGTCGAATAAGATATATCTAAATAGAAATGAAGAATTTTGATGGTGAATTTGAGCCATAAGCCACAAGATTTTTGAGAAAAAGAATTGTATAGGCATATAGTTTGCGCACAGATTTGACCCATAAAATTTATTTATTTTTACTGAATTTCTTGCTTGTTGAATTATTATTATTATTGTAATTAACCAAAATATAATATTATATATGGAGAATAACAAATACACAGCTATAAACTTTAACTAAATGGCCCAATGATATTTTGCTTGGACGGTGAGATCCAAAGATCATGGATTCTGTTTCAAATTCCTTCATGATAATGAATTTTTTATTAAAAGTGCACCTTTAGTGATGCTCAACTATATTTCTTCACTCTCAATTGATTTTCTAATGAAAAAGCCTTCTAAACGAAAAATGATGAACGCTTTCAGAAGAGAGATGATGAAACTGAACATTGCTTCTCGCTTAAATATTCATTTTGCACGTCTCAACCCCAAATTTGCAATACTTTCCTTAAAAAATCGCTTTTCCGAGTCTATTTTTTCAAAGTCCCATATGCCATTTATTTAAATAACCTCTTAAATCATGCTAATTACAATCGAATTTTTCTCACTCCATATGGTATGAACAACCTTTTAAGAAGAATTCATTAATCGGCACTTTCTTATTTTCCCAATCCCAAAATATTTGCGTTTTTTTCTCTTTTTCTTTTATTCAAATTATAGTCAGTTGGCCAAAAAAACCCCCAGAAAACCTACTTTCACACGATTTTCATTGATATATCTATCATTAATGAGTGTGAATGCACCACTGACTGATGCATTCGCAATAACTGATGTATGGACGTTCTTGCCGTTCGAATTTATTAACTTAATATTATCACTGAACAAGACTTCTGTCTGATTTATCGCATTACTCGGTATGGTTGCTTTGTAAATATTGGCTTTAAATCGAATATCATTTCTGCAAAAAATTATTTTTGGCTAAATCGACATGCGAAGATAATTTAAATGAAAAATAATGAAGTTCTCAGGTTTTCTATAAGTTTTCTTTTATTGATCTTGAATTTCTTTTTTTGTTGACCTATTAACATTGACCTTTGCCGATTTGTAGTGGTCATTTGTGGCATATGGAGTATGTTCTTCACCACCCTTGACACTGTAACAGTAATATGACAAGTGGTCAGTTTCCTCTACATATTTGATGACTATCTGGCGGGTGTGTTTGATTGCATCATCACAGTTATAGTCTACCAATTTTATATATATTTTATAGTTTCGATAATGGAATAGAAAAGAGGATTTGAGGAAATGAAAAGAGAAGAAGAGG